TATATATATATATATATACTTCAAGGTTTCAGAAATAAAGAGCTCTTATTTAATGCTCCTTTAATGCCAAATCTGGAGTTTCTGGGTCTTTCCCTTTGAGTTTTTGTAGGTTTGTTCCACATTCTGTGGGAAAGCATTTATTTTAAAGGTTTTTGTTTGTTTGCTTGTTTTATCTTGGCAGTAAAAGATTTTGAAAGCAAGGTGGAATGGAATACTAAACCATGCAGAATTTTAGACTTTGCAGGGAGAAGAGGGATAAGGAAAAAATGAGACAAGGTGTCTGATTTGCAAGGTTATTTCTACATAAGACAATTGCTGAATATTCTCACAGACTTTTCTTCCTAAAATACTTCTTCATGGATTACAAGGCAGTGATATTTTAAAAGGGAAGTTCAAAAAAAATGAAACTCTGGCCACCTAGGAGAAGCAGTGTCAAGTGCAGGTGGATGGGGTGGCCAGTGGTAAAAGTCAGTTTTTAATGTCTGGAGTCAGGTGACTTTCTAATGACCTGTGTGTCCTCTTTTTCTCTTCTTAAGACTCCCATGAGGAGTTTATCATGTCTCCTTTCTTTTTGTTTTGAGGAAGAATCATAAATGTTGAGAACCCATTTGGATTGCCATCTTGATAGTGTTCAGTTTTGTTTTGTTTTGATTTGTTTTTCCTTAGAAATGATGTTGTGCAGGGGTGAGGAAAGGGTAGGAAAATGGTTTTATAAGTAGCATTTGTTTCTTCAAAATGTATGGCAGCACAGGAAGGGAGTCAATTTCCTCTTTGGAGAAAAAAAAAAAAGAAAACAGAAAAATGAAATAATTTCCAGGCCTGATACCATTTGTCTTCTAAAACCAAAAATCCTCAAGACAAGGAAAAGCTAGAGAGGATTCTTTGTGCTTTTCTCCTAAAGGTTCTTCACCAGTCTGGGTCCTTGGCTGTCAGGATGTGTGTTTTGTCCTTTTTGGGGCTCGGTGTGAAAGGAATCCTTACTTTTCTTGGGATGAGATCTAGAACCATGGAAAACAGGCTGCAGCTGTTAAATAACTTATTGATTCCTTGATTGGAGGGGATCTGGGTCCTTCCCCTTCTCCCATCCTGCTGAGGCGATGGTCGCTGATGACCTGTGGTGTGCGTTCCTCCCATCACATAAATCACCCCTCCAGCCATCAAGCGTGATTTGTCTTGAGGAGAAGGGAGACAGGGTATTCACGTGGCTGGAGGCAAGGCCCAAGGTTGGCTTGTCTGGGGGAACAGTGGTCTGGAAGTGACTGGAGTTCCCTGGAATCTTCTGGGTGTCTGCCCAGGTTCTGGGGAGGATGGCTAAATACTGCTAACAGATGTGTGCTGTTGCTTTTAAGTAACCTAACCAGAATCTGGTGTGGGTTAGGGAATTTTCAAGACCTGGAGACTTGGCTGTCCAAACTTGGGGGGAAGCTCCTTCTGGGGATGTTTGTCTATCTTTTTTAATAATTAACTGGGTAAAAAACAGAAAACACTGCATGCTCAGATCAAATATTGTCCTTGCCCTGGTTGCTCAAGCGTCAGCCTGTCGGGAGAGGAGTAGGCTGCTGCAGGCAGAACTTTGTCCGAGCTGGGGAGTGTGTTTTGGGCCTTATATAATATGATGGGGCGAGAGGCACCCAGCCACACCTGAGTGCTCCCCACCGCGTGCCTCTTTAGACAGGGTGTCCTGTTACCAGCACCTGTGCTGAGCAGAATAGGGGCCTTGTTCAGTTCCTCCCTCTGTTGGCTACCAGTATCTTCTGTGCTGAGTTCTGCCTAAAATTAGAACTTCGAAAGGACTTCTTGAATTCCATGGAAATCTTCCTGTGGTTCGAAGGCATGTATTTTCCCTCCCTTATCATGAGATCAAGAATGTGGGTAGTGAGTGGGTCCAGCGCTGGGAAATGATTCCAGGACTGTATTTTCTCCCCGCCTGAGTTGATCTGAGGTTCCCATCAGAAGAGGGGTTCACTTCCTTGATATTTATTGAGGACCTACTATGTGGAATCTGTTTGCTACCCTGCCCTCCAAGAGCCTTGTGCGGAGGGCTGTGACCAGAATGTCATTACAGTATGGCAGTGTGGCCCGAGGGAAAGGACTTTCCTTGGAGGCTTCAGGAAAAAAACTTCTCTGTAGGAAGACACTGAAAGCCCAGCCCAGGCCTCAGCGGCCAGGTACTCTGAGGGAGGTGGGCCACTCTGTGAACGGTGACAGCCACACAAAGGCAGGACAAGCAGAGCCATTGTAAAGGACAGATGGGCCCTGTGTTGGCTTTTCTCTTAGCAAATGGTCGTGTTTGGCCAGGGTTTTACAGCTTCCTCATTTGGGGCCCATGGGAGAAAAAGCTAAAATAAAGATGTCATCAAATCAGCAGCAGGAACCACCCGACTGGGTGCTTATTCAGAGATTTAGGGCCTCTTCTATGTAGATCAACCTTTTTTTTTTTTTTTTTTTTTTTTAAGGTGTGAAACTTGTCCTGGTTTGGAAAACTGTCATTTTTGGGTCTTGGTTTAAATGTTTCTGTGGGAAAACCCCTTACCCTTCCTATTTAATCAAATTGTTTAGAACTTGTGGCTTCATGCCATGAACCTTTATGCTCTCAGATTCTGCAGTTCATAACTGCCCCAAATGGAGAGGAGGTTGCTCCTAGGTCACTGCTTGCATGGAAGGTCGGCTGAGCTTGGCTTCAGCCTGGTTCAGCCATCTCCCCATCTCCCCATCGTTCAGCTTCTGCCCATTCTGCGGTATTTCTTGAGCGTCAGTTATGTTGCAGGCACCAAACTGTGCTCTGATTTTTGCAAGAAAAATACAGCATAATTTGTGTTTCTAAAGCGTGAACAGTATGCCCGGGCTTCCCGGCTGTTGACTGCCTGCCCTTTGACCTCTGCTTTTGCATCTTGG